ATGCTTTACTTCCTATTATGTGGTCAATTTTAGAGCACATGTGATGTGGCACTCAGAAGTATGTATATTCTGTGGATTTGGGGTGGGGAGTTCTGAAAATGTGTATCAGGTTTGCTTGTTGCTGGTCTGAGTTCAAGCCCTGGATATCCTTGTTAATTTTCTGTCTGGTTGATCTAATATTGACAGTGGAGTGTTAAAGTCTCCCACTATTATTGTGTGAGAGTCTAAATCTTTTTTAAGTCATTAAGAACTTGCCATATATATCTGGGTGCTCCTGTATTGGATCAATATATATTAGAATCGTTAGCTCCTCTTGTTTTATCAATCCGTTTACTATTATGTAATGACATTGTCTCTTTTGATCTTTGTTGCTTAATTGTCAATTTTATCAGGGATGAGAACTGGAACTCCTGCTGTTTTCTGCTGTCCATTTGCTTGGTAAATCTTCCTCCATCCCGTTATTTTGAGCCTTTGTGTATCTTTGCCTGAGAGGTGGGTTACCTGGATACAGCACACTGATCGGTTTTGGTTTTTTATCCAGTTTGCCAGTCTGTGTCTTTTGATTGGTGCATTTAGCCCATTTACATTTAGGGTTACTATTGTTATGTGTGAATTTTACTGCCATTTTTGATGCTAGCTGGCTGTTGTGCCTGTTAGTTGATGCTGGTTATTTATTTTGTTGATGCCCTTTAGCATTTGGTATACTTTTGAAATGGCTGGTACTGTTTGTTAGTTTCTATATGTAGTGCCTCTGTCAGGAGTTCTTGTAAAGCAGGCCCGGTGGTGACATAATCTTTGAGTACTTGCTTTTTTGCAAAGGATTTTATTTTTCCTTCACTTATGAAGCTCAGTTCGCTGGATATTAAATTCTGGGATGAAAGTTCTTTTCCTTAAGGATGTTGAATATTGGCCCCCACTCTCTTCTGGTTTGTAGCATTTCTGCCGAGAGATTGGCTGTGAGTCTGATGGGCTTCCCTTTTGGGTGACCCGACCTTTCTGGCTGCCCTTAGTATTTTCTCCTTCATTTCAACCCTGGTGAATCTGACGATTATGTGCCTTGGGGTTGCTGTTCTTGCAGAATATCTTTGCGGTGTTCTCTCTATTCCCTGGACTTGACTGTTGGTCCGCCTTGCTAGGTTGGGGAAATTTTCCTGGATAATATCCTGAAGAGTATGTTCCAGCTTGGATTCACTCTCGTCACATTCTATTACACCTATCAAGCGTAGGTTACGTCTCTTCACATAGTCCCACATTTTTTGGAGACTTTGTTTATTCCTTTTTGCGATTTTTTCTCTCTTCTTGGTTTGTGTTTTATTTCATTGAGTTGACCTTCGATTTCTTTCTGCTTGGTCCATTTGACTGTTGAAACTTGTGCAGGCTTTGCAAAGTTCTCGTGGTGGGTTTTTCAGCTCCTTCAATTCATTTATATTCCTAAGTTGTCCATTCTTGTTATCATTTCCTCAAATTCTTTTTCAAGGTTCTTAGTATTTTCCATTAATTTAGAACATGTTCGTTTAGCTCATTAAGTTTCTCATTATCCACCTTCTGAAGTCTGATTCTGTCATTTCATCACACTCATTCTCTATCCAGCTTTGTTCCCTTGCTGGTGAGGAGTTTTGGTCCTTTGTAGAAGGCGCGGTTTTCTGGATTCAGGTGTTTTCCTCCTTTTTGCGCTGGTTTCTTCCCATCTTTGTGGGTTTACCCACCTGTCATTTGAGCATTTGCTGACTTTTTGATTGGGTCTCTGAGTTAGCGCCCGTATTATTGATAATGAAGTATTTCTGTTAGTTTTTCTTCTAACAGTCTAGCTCCTCTGCTGTAGAACTGCCAGGCTCTGTCTTGGGTACACTTGTAGCAGCTGTGGAACAGTAAGTGGTGCTACCAGTTTCTTTTTCTGCTTTGTCCCAGAATGATGCCCGCCAAATGTCAGTCTGATCAGTCGTTTTTGAGGTGACTTTTTGAATATACAGGGGTCAGGGAGCTGCTTGAGGAGGCGGTCTGTACTTTATAGGAGCTCAAGTACTGAGCTATGAGGTACATTTATCAATCAGGGCAGTTAGGCCAGTATGTTGAAGTCTGCTGCAAAACTCATAAGGACAAAACCCTTTTTTTCCTTAGATGCTGTCTCGGGGGAGTTAGAGCTTTCTTTGTGAGTATCCATAGCACCTTCCTGCACAGCTGGGAGGCAGTCTAGTCACTATTTGCCTGTCGAGGCTCCGCCCTGCTGCCACGAGCTCTGCCCTGTTGGCAGAGTCTCACTGTTATGGCCAATTGCCTCAGCAATGGCAGGCTGTGTCAGCAATGGGAGTATGCCTTGGTAATGGCGGACCACCCTTTTCCACGGAGCTGCACCATCCCGGGTAAAGCTGTGCCTGCATTGAAACTCTCAACCCTGAGCATTTCAAATTGCTGTTTTGTTTGTCCCTGTGGGGGTGGGGCCCGCCAAGCCTAATTACCTGGCTTTCTGCCTCAGAGTCTTTTTTATTTTTTTTTTGAAAGTTTAATGATACACTCTCTCCCAGGTGTTTCAGTCAGCTGCTGATATGGCACTGGGATGTGTGATTTCCTGTGCAGCTACACATTGCGCTGGCTCGAACTTCTCTTCCCAGTAATCTGGTGTGGCTCACTGTCGAAGTCCCGTTTAATCAGATGGATATGCTAATCCACCCTCCCAAATCTCAGATTGCCAGTTTAACAGGGCATCCATACCAGTTCATTCTGTGTAAACTTCCGCTGTGCTGTGGGACCGGCTGAAAAAGGCCATGCGAGCCTTAACAGCTGTGCTGGTGTCCCGGGAATTTCTCTGTTCTGTGGGCAACAAAGATCCATCTGGAAATGCAAATTGAACTCACCCTCTGCTTCTTCACTGAGAGCTGCAATCCTGATTTGCCCCTACCGTGCCATCTTGGCAGTCCCCCCCCCCTCAGATTTTTATTTATTCTAGGCACTCATTGGATGCCACTGAATAGGGGTCCTGATTGACATTTAGAGGAAAAATTCTCAGAATTGTTCTTTTGAAGTAAGAATTATAGGTGTTAAGTATGCAATTAAAATTCTTTTCTTTTAATCATCTTAATTACTTTCCGAATAAAATTAAAACAATGCCATCAATGGAAACAGATTTACTGTTTTGAATGATTTAGTTGACTCCTGCTTATCGAAGGATAGATTACAAGACATGAGTTAGCCATAGTATGAAATAACAGTGTGCTTGGTATCATAAAGAAATGAAGTGTCAGTCATGTAAAAAAAATTAATGTTTAGAGAATAATTCTGTTTAGAATCTAGTCTAGCCTGAAAATGCTCCAAAATTTCAGCTGAGTAAATTTTGAAAGCAGAACCTCCTTTTTCTTCAACTCTCTAATGAACAGAGGTCTGCATATGGGTACTACAAAATCTTTGCAATGGGTGTGCTGTGATTGGTGGAGCTTTCTATAATATTAGCTGCAAATACTCTTTTACTTTCACCTCCATGATTCATATCTATATGATCTTTTAAATGGTAAATGCATTCTGAAATGAAGGATGTGAATTTTTAAAAAAATTAGTTTTAAATGGACTTCTATAAGAAACTTTAGTTGGTTTTACATTCCTAGGACTTAGGCTGCATGAGATCTTTTCCTTTAGTGCTTCTCAATTGCCAACAAATTTGTTTTTATAAACATGAAAACCCATACATGCATGTGGAAAAATGTGTGTAGTTGCTCCAAGGTTGAGCATTTCAGATGTACAAGTCATATGTGATAAGTTATGAAACCTGAAATGCTCGACAATAAAAAAAATAGTGGTTTTAAAATAATATTTCAGAGTTCATGTCTTCCTTCAGTTAGATGTTTATTTACATGTAAAGTTCTATAAATATATTGGTTATTTTTCACTTGCTTTTACATAAATGTTAACAAAACAGTGCGGTCCTATACTGTATTAATAACAAAGAGAAAACTTTTCAAGGACCTAACTTGAGCAATAATGCTAAACAGAGTAAATTTAATTTTGATATTAATTAAGGAATAGGTATATATCAATTTCTTCTTCAGAGAACAAGCAGAGGAAAATATTGCTTCTCTCCTGAGGAAGAAAATATGTGGTCGGAATAACTGAAGCACTTTACACAGTGTTAAGTTTGAAAATTTTTTTGCCTAAAAATGTTTACTTCGTATGCAGGTTTTGATTGGCTTTATTTCATTCTATTATTCCTCGTGTGTACAGAAAGACCTCCAAGAGAGAGAAGACAAAAACAGTCTGTGTTGCAAAGGAAGCCCGAAAATTGAATAAATAAATATGCGACTTTGCAAGGGATTTTGGAGACATGGAAAATCTTGTCAGGTAAGTTGGATGCTAAAACCTTGTCTTTAGGGATTAAGTGTCCATTCTAATTATTTTCTCATCTCAGAAAAACATGTAAAAGTAATAGCAAAATAAGACCTTTCTTAAAATATCTTACTGGAAACAGAATTTCAGAAACAGATTTCATCCAATTATTAAGATTCCACACATGATTAAACTCTGGATGTAGATGTAAAGAAGAGAGATAATCTGACACAGGGAATTGCTTTTTTTCTGATGATGACAACCGTCTCCCTTTAGAGGTCAAAAAATCAATTTGATGTAAGCACTTTGTACTAAGATTATAATGTTCTATATCAAGAAAACAATGTTTGTAAGCTCCCTCAGCCTATTGTGAATTTTGAAATTTAAGTTAAATGTTCTCTCTGGTGAAATAAAGAAAGGTGAAAAGATGGCCCAAATGTTCTGTTTTCCTTTCTTTGCTTCCTCTGGTACTTTTATATTTTAATCACTCCTAAAGCTATTCAGGAACCTTAGCTGATGCAGCACACACGCTCTTCCCAACAGTCTTGGAGAAACTCATCTAAGCTCTCGGTGCACTGGGCAAGTGAATGGGTGAACAAAAAGCTAATTTAAAAGATGCATCAGAGTCTGAAAGGACAGTGGCACAGAGGGTCTTGCATTTGTTACAGGGATTTTGTAAGAAAACTAATTCTAATTTCTTTAAAAAATTGTCTTCTGGTAAATCTGTCAAATTTATTGAGAACATACATATTAAATATTTCTGAAATAAACACTGATAAAACAAAAATATTAGTGTGGTCATTTTTCTTTGAATATTTACTTCAAAAATTAAATTACTACCTCCAAAATTTTATATTGATTTCAAAATAATAAACATATTTTGGTAAAACAGATATATTACTTCTTATGTTTTTTAATATTTAATTCCAAACATCTCTTTTCATTATTGAGAATGTCACTTGTCTTAATTTCTCAAAGAATGGCATAAAGTCTTAAATTTTATGAGATTTTATACCACAAGTGAGAAAAGTCGAGTAAAAATAATAGTAGGGAACCAGAATATCCTTCAAACAATCTAAAAAAGTTAAAAATACTTAACTAATATGTTTGAGGTAGTTCATGTAGAATATCTGGGGGCTATCCTGAAGGTTACGTTTCCAAGAATATAAAATAATAAACTGAGTAGTTCCATACTGAAAAGATCCACACGAATAATTCCAAAGGCAGTGTATCTTTTGCAGTATGGAAAAAATGACACCCCAAATGTGAGTCTAAAAAAATAGTGTAAATGACAACAAAAATAACAAAACAAAAGACAATAACAATCTTTTATAATAAAAAAGAATTTAATTCAAAAATATTTTGGGGAGGTTGAAGATGCAGTTGAGGATAAATTAAAAACAACAATTACAAACACAGAGATCTGGTACTTTTATTAATTATTAAATCATACATTAGTATCTGTTGTGTCTTCCTAGTTTTCCATGAATTACCAGATTGACTGAGGTCTTTTTTCTGTAGGACTAAATCTATTCGTTTTTATCCCAATTTGTGTGTGTGTGTGTGTGTGTGTGTGTGTGATGAGTTTGATTGAAATCTTTTTTGCTGTAGGACCTACAGATCATATCAACATTGAACCTGTATGCCAGAAATTTCATAGAGCTAAGGATACTGCGGTTGGCTGGGTGCATGCCAGGTGGCTAATAGTAATCCTGGTGAGGGGCTTGGGGCGCTTTGATCTTTTGCCGGCTTCTCCTGACTTCTCTGGAAAGAATTCCTAAAAAAGGCTTGGACTGGCACAGGCCCATTTCAGATCGCAAATCTGATCTTGTGCTTGGCTTTCTTGGGAGTTCTCAGCAGCATGCCTGGACGTCTGTCTCAATCTTTGGATTCACCACACAGAACACTGGAGACATGCTGTTCAGCTTCCCATGGCAGCCGATCAGGGGTACAGGCGACCAGGTGTCGCCGCCTCGAGCGCACACTGGCCTTGCCTTTTTGTAATTGTTCCCTTCATGTCCAGACGGTAGTGCTGTGAAGTAAGAATCCCTGGGCTTGGAAATCAAGGCAGGGCCTCTTGGTGGGCTGCCCATGTCAAAATATTGCAGCTCATGGGGCTGGGAAACGTACTGGTGACTCCCAGAGTAAATGCTTCCATGTCGGAAATGCCCTCATTCTTCACAAGACCAGAAGAGTGGGACAAAGGAGCTACTGAAGTCAAGACTTTCAGGAGCCAACACTGGTTATGGAAACGCACCCTCATTCCAGGGCCTCCCCTGCAAACGAATCCACGTTGAACCTGGGCGGAAGCAGCTGGACAGAGCCAATATTTCAGCTCCCCAGCTGCGCATGGGAAAGGGCCTGCGCATGTCACCTGTTGCAAGCCCTTTTGCTGAGCCTTGGCTCGCGTCACAGTGACCCACGGTTGCCTGGAGAATGATCTTAGTGGCTTAGCCAAGCAGGTGCCCTCCGTGGCTGTGACTTACAGTTGCACAACGAACCCTTACTCCCCGCGATCATGGCCAAGTCCTGTGATTTTAGGAATCTGGCAGGACAAACCAGGCCGAGAAACGATCTGGCTGGGCTTCAGGGACGGCTATGGTGTTCCACAAGTATCCCCATGATGCTTCAGGCCATCCAAGACAGCGTGAAGGCGCCTCTCATTGAAAGCCCCCGACTGGTATTTCCAGGTATAGCCGGACTGCCTGTGGTGGGGCTGCTCTGTCCCTAAGGGGATTCCCAGCAGAAAACAGAACCCCGAAACCTAAGGATATGCCTGGCAGGGTGTGTTTCCGTGCGACTCTTGGATTTCTCCATGAGTCTTTCCGTGTGTATGTTAGTGTGTGTATGCATATATATTTTCGAGTGTGCATGCTTCAGTTGAGTGTGGTCAGTGCACTCCAGCGTGGTTTCTCTGTAGTCCACCTACCTTCTGCTGCCAGTGTTTGGTTCATAAAGGGCACGGCAGTTCCCTGCATTCTTTGTATTCCTGGTGCTTTCCAAAGCCGCAGTGTAGTAAGGTCTGCTCCCACCTGCAGGTGTCATAATCACCTGCTCATCCAGAGGTTAACTCCTGGAAAAACAAGACGTGTGCAACATAGATACAATCAATTTCCTCCAGGAGCCCTTGGTATTGTGGCAAATCTTAGGCTGGAGAAACCCTAGCTGTCCCGTCCTCAGGACCCTTGAAGGGTTGCAGTTGTGTCCTTAAACTTATGTGTCTTTTCTCTACTTAGGATTCTCGTTTAAAGATCAATTGCAATTCGTGTGCTGGAGTCAGCCTGGATTTCTATATTTTTTGTAGGAACTCATTGGATGAAACTGAATAGGGATCCTTATTGACATTTGCAGGTTTCAAGTAAGAATTGTAGGTGTTGAGTCTGCATTTAAAAGTCTTTTCTTTTTTTTTTTTTAATTGTATTTAAGTCTTTGGAATACATGTGCAAAACATGCAAGACAGTAGCCTAGGTACAGACGTGGCAGTGTGTTTTGCTGCCTTCCTCTCTTTCAAACACATTTGGCATTTCTCCCAATGCTATCCCCCTGATCTCACCCCCCCGTATCTCCCCTATTCCCCCAATTGACCCCAGTGGGTAGTGCTTCTTTCCCTGTTTCCATGTGTTCTCATTGTTCATCACCCACGTATGAGTAAAAATACGTATTATATTTTCTGTTCTTGTGTCAGTTTGCTAACAATGATGTTCTCCAGATTCCTCCATGTCCCTATAAAGAAAAGGAACTCATTGTTTTTGATTGCCGCATAATATTCCATAGTGTATATGTGTCACATTTTCCCAATCCAGTCTATCATCGATGGGCATTTGGGTTGATTCCAGGTCTTTGCAGTGCTGCAATGAACATTCGTGTGCATGTGTCCTTATAGTAGAACAATTTATAATCCTCTGGATATATACCCAGTAATAAAATTGCTGGGTCAAATAGAATTTCTATTTCTAGGTCTTTGAGTCTTTGCCACACTGTCTTCCACAATGGTTGAACTAATTTACACTCCCACCACAGTGTAGAAGTGTTCCTATTTCTCCACATCCTCTCCAGCATCTGTTGTCTCCAGATTTTTTAATGATCGCCATTCTAACAGGCGTGAGATGTTATCTCAATGTGGTTTTGAATTGCATCTCTAATGACAACTGATAAAGAACATTTCTTCATAAGGTTGTTGGTCTCATGTATGTCTTCTTTTGAAAAGTGTCTGTTCATATCCTTTGCCCATTTTTGAATGGGCTTGTTTTTTTCTTGTAAATCTGTTTGAGTTCTTCGTAAACTCTGGATATCAGCCCTTTGTCAGATAGGTGCTGATTAACTCTAGTGGCTGTCTCTTTTGCCGTGTAGAAGGTGTGGAGTTTGATTAGGTCCCATTTGTGTATTTTGGCTTTTGTTGCCAATGATTTTAGAGTTTTGGTCATGAGGTCCATGCGTACTCCTATATGCTTCATGGCTTTGTCTAGATTTTCTTCTAGGGTTTTTATGGTGCCAGGTCTTATGTTTAAGTCTTTAATCCATCTGGATTTAGTTTTAGTGTAAGGTGTCAGGAAGGGATCCAGTTTCTGCTTTCTGAAGATGGCTAGCCAGTTTTCCCAACACCATTGATTAAACAGAAAATCCTTTCCGCATTGCTAGTTTTTGTCAGGTTTATCAAAGATTGTATGGTTGTATATATGTTGTGTTGCCTCCGATGCATCTAATCTGTTCCCTTGGTCTATATCTGTTTCTGTATGAGTACCACGCTGTTTTGATTACTGTAGCCTTGCAGTATAGTTTGACGTCCAGTAGTTTTTGCTTAGAATTGATTTGGCAATGTGGGCTCTCTTTTGGTTTCATATGAGTTCACAGTGGTTTATTTTAGTTCTGCGAAGAAAGTCAATGGTAGCTTGATGGGGATACCATTGTGTGTGTAAATTACTTTGGGCAGTATGGCCATTTTCATGATATTGATTCTTCCTAACCATGAACAGGGAATGTTTCTCTGTCTGTTTGTGTCCTCTCTTATTTTGTTGAGAAGTGATTTGTAGTTTTCCGTGAAAAAGCCCCTTATGCTTGTGGTAAGTTGTATTCCTAGGTATTTTATTCTCTTTGTAGCAATTGTGAATGGCAGTTAGTTCTTGATTTGGCTCTCTTTAAGTCTGTTATTGGTGTATAGGAATGCTTGTAATTTTTGCACATTGATTTCATACCTTGAGTCTTTGCTGAAATTTTTTATCAGTTTCAGGAGTTTTTGGACTGAGACGATGGGGTCTTCAAGATATACTATCATGTTATCTGCAAATAATTTGGCTTCCGCCTTTCATATTTGAATACCTTTTATTTTTATGTCTTGACTAACTGCTCTGGTTAGAACTTTCTATATTGAATAGGAGTGGTGACAGAGGGCATCCTTGTCTAGTGCCAGATTTCAAAGGGAATGCTTCCAGTTTTTGCCCATTCAGTATGATATCGGCTGTTGGTTTGTCGTAAATAACTTTTAATATTTTGAGATATGTTCCTTCAATACCGAGTTTAATAAGGGTTTTTAGCATAACGGGTTAATGAATTTTGACGAAGGCCTTCTCTGCGTCACTTGAGATAATCATGTGGTTTTTAATTTTGGTTCTGTTTATGTGGTCAATTATGTTTCTAGATTTGCGTATGTCGAACCAGCCTTGCGTCCCCAGGATGAATCCTACTTAGTCTTGATGGATAAGTGTTTTGATGTGCTGTTGCAATCGGCTTGTCAGTATTTTATTGAAGATTTTTGCGTCTATGTTGATTGTTTCCTTGTTCAGTCTCTGCCGGGTTTTGGTAATACCAAAGGTCTTTTCATTCCATCTTAATTTTTGTTCCTAATTCCTTTTCCAATAAAATTAAAAGAGACTGCCATCATCTAGGAAAACAGATTTACCCTTTTTGAATGATTAGTTGACTTCTAGTTACCTAAGGACTGCTTTCAAGACATGAGTTAGCCATGGTGTGAAATAAAAGTGTGCTGGAATGTATCTCAAAGTAATAAAAGCTATTTACGACAAACCAACAGCCAATATCATACTGAATAGGGAAAAACTGGAAGCATTCCCTTTGAAATCTGGCACTAGACAAGGATGCCCTCTCTCACCACTCCTATTCAATATACTACTAGAAGTTCAAGCCAGAGCAATCAGGCAAGAAAAGAAATACAGGGTGTTCAGATAGGAAAGGTAGAAGCTAAATTGTCAACATTTGCAGACGACATGATAGTATACCTAGAAGACCCCATCGCCTCATCCTGAAACTGATAAGCAACTTCAGCAGTCTCAGGATATAAAATCAATGTGCAAAAAGCACAAGCATTCCTCTACACCAATAACAGACTTAAAAAGAGCCAAATCAAGAACAAACTGCCATTCATCATTGCTACAAAGATAATAAAACACCTAGGAATACAACTTACAGGAAAAATAAGAGACCTCTTCAAGAAAAACTACAAACCACTGCTCAACGAAATAAGAGAGGACACAAACAAATGGAGAAATATTCCATGTTCATGGTTAGGAAGAATATCTTGAAAATGGCTATACTGCCAAAAGTAATTTACAGAATCAATGCTATCCCCATCAAGCTACCATTGACTTTCTTCACAGAACTGGAAAAAAATCACCATGAATTTCATATGGAACCAAAAAAGAGTCTGAATAGCCAAGTGAATTCTAAGCAAAAAGAACACGGGGGGGCAGTATACAACCGAATTTCAAACTATACTACAAGGCTACAGTGATTAAAACACATGGCACTGTTACCAAAACAGAGATATAGACCAATGGAAAAAAACAGAGGCATCGAAGGCAACACAACATATCTACAACCATACAATCTTTGATAAACCTGAACAAAAACAAGCAATGTAGAAAGAATTCCCTGTTTAATAAATGGTGTTTGGAAAATTGCCTAGCCATGTGTAGAAGGCAGAAACTGGACCCCTCCCTGACCCCTTACATTAAAAGTAACACCAGATGAATTAAAGACTTAAACATAAGACCTGGCACCACAAAAACCCGAGAAGAAAATCTAGGCAAAACCATTCAGGACATAGGAGTAGGCAAGAACTTCATGAAGAAAACAACAAAAGCATTGGCAACAAAAGTCAAAATAGACAAATGGGACCTAATCAAACTCCACAGCCTCTGCACGGCAAAATAAACAGTCATTAGAGTGAATCGGCAACCAACAGAATGAAAAAATACTTTGCAGTTTACCCATCTGACAAGGGGCTTACAAAGAAATCAAACAGATTCAGAAGAAAAAAACAAGCCCATTCCAAAATGGACAAGGGATATGAACAGACACTTTATAAAAGAAGACATACATGAGGCCAACAAACATATGAAAAGATGCTCTTCATCACTGGTCATTAGAGAAATGCAAATCAAATCCACATTGAGATACCATCTCACGCCAGTTAGAATGGCGATCATTAAAAAATCTGGAGACAACAGATTCTGGAGAGGATGTAGAGAAATAGGAACACTTTTACACTGCTGGTGGGAGTGTAAATTAGTTCAACCATTGTGGAAGACAGTGTGGCGATTCCTCAAGGCCTTAGAAATAGAAATTCCATTTGACCCAGCAATCCCATTACTGGGTATATATCCAATGGACTATAAATTGTTCTACTATCAGGACACATGCACACGAATGTTCACTGAAGCACTGTTTTCAATAGTAGAGACCTGGAACCAACCCAAATGCCCATAAAATGTGGCACATATACACCATGGAATATTATGCAGCCATCAAAAACGATGAGTTCCTGTCCTTTGTAGGGACATGGATGAATCTGGAGAACATTATTGTCAGCAAACAGACATAAGAACAGAAAATGAAATACCGCATATTCTCACTCATAGCCGGGTGATGAACAATGAGAACACATGGACACAGGGAGGAGAGCGTTACAGACTGGGGTCTACTGGGGGAAACAAAAAAGAGATGGCAGCAGGAGCTGGGGTGGGATAGCATGAGGTAAAATGCCAGATGTGGGTGAAGGGGAGGAAGGCAGCAAATCACACTGTCACGTGTGTACCTATGCAACTATCTTGCATGTTC